GTGTGTGTGTGTGTGTGTGTGTGTGTGTGTGTGTGTGTGTGTGTGTACCTCATAAGTGATCTTTAGGCTGGACTGCAGCAGTATGGGGGGAAATCTGGGGTGGACTTCTGCAGTCAGCCATAGACGAAAGCTTGCTTTCGGATGCAGCATGTTTAGTTCCTTTGGAGGGAAATCAACGCAGACATCAGAAGAAATAAATACACAAAAATATGACCAGAATCCACATAAACAGTTCATATTAGAAAATATTGCTGAAATCCCCAAACAACAAAAATGACTCCTACGTGTTTTCTTCATTTCAGCTATGTCACTTGAAGTTCATTTGTTCAGCAGAAGAAAGCTAATTCTGTTATGTACGGGTACTTTTTGTACACAGCAGTCAAAAAGCTAATCAACTTATATTTTAGTAACTTTTTTCTACTTTTTTTCTCTAAATTGCTTCCAATTTAGTAACAATGCTCTGTGACAAACTCTCCACAGTGCCAAAACACTGATCTAACTTTGCTTTCTTTTTGCTTTCCTGCATTGCTGTTTTTCAAATTTCCTGTGTTCGTTCCCTGACTTCTCTACCGTCCCCCGCCATCCCCCCTCCGTCTCTCTCTGCATTGCTCGAACACGGTTAAAAATAGCTCGCTGGCAGCTTAGGGTCTTGTGTCATCAGATTGAGCACTCAGACACGAGGACACACACGATGAACTGTAATCAATGTGTTTCTGCATCATTTGCCGCCTAATTCAGTCTCATGGAAGCACACATGATAAAAGATAATCAAAGAGAACTGACGGCTCTCGAAGGAAACTCCTTAGCCTCTTGTTGTGGGTTTTTCTGTAATTTGTTGTTTATCAGACTTCAACTGGAAGAAATTATTCTATTACAGGAAGATCTGAGACAAAGCAGGGAAAAAAGATGATGAAAGGAGGATGAAAGAGGAGCACAAAGATCTTCTCGTAATTGAAAATAAAAAGTCTGCTATGTTGGAGTACATCCATGCAGTTCAGAGAATAAAAGCCACCACATTTATGCACAAATAGATAAGCAGATATTCAAACTCTACAGGATTTGTGTCTGCACACTGGTGATAACAATCATTAAACGCAGTAAGACTTGATAACATTTTTACACCATATTTTTGACACTGATAACAATTGTATCACAACAAATGCTACTATTAGCGCATACTAATTCTTACACAAAAAAATGCCACAAATCTGTCATTTTTTATTGTAATAACATGTACAGGTCTCTTTAAAAACTCACTCTGAATCTTACAATCATGGGTCATGCATTCAGGCATAGTAGAATTGAATATCCACAACAAAAACATTTTTCAAGACCATTCACATGCTTAGCATTGGGGTGTCTCGCAAAATGCATGCAAAATGAGTCGAACTCAGTCATTAAGTCCAGTACAGGGAAAAACAATAAACAATTATTATTATTGTTATTATTATTATTATTGGTTATTACTTATGGAGTGATTGAGAGGTAGAGTTGTTTGATGTGCAACACAAACATGGATGCTTATTGAGATTGTTGCGAGTGGTGATGTTTGTGAAGTCTAACAGCTGATGGGAGGAATGATCTGTGGTAACATACTTTTGTGCATTTAGGATGCAGCAGTCTGTCACTGAAGGAGCTCTGCAGATCAGCTACAGTTCCATACATTGGGTGGGAGACGTTCTCTGTTATTGATGTTATTTTACCCAGAGTCCTTCTGTCTCCCACCACCTGCACTGGGTCGAGGGGGCATCTCAGCACAGAGCTGGCCTTCTTGATGATCTTGTCCAGCTTCTTCCTATCAGCTGTAGATAAGCTGCTGCTCCAATAAACGATGCCATAAAAGACGGCTGAAGCCACAACTGTGTCGAAGAAGGTCTTCAGGAGCGCCTCTTGCACTCCAAAAGAACTCAGCCTCCACAGCAGGTAGAGTCTGCTCTGACCCTTCCTGTAAAGAGCGTCCGTGTTGTGAGTCATGTCCAGTTTATTGTTCAGGTGAACACCCAGGTGCTTATAAGAGTCCACATCTCAATGTCCACTCCCTGGATGTTCACCGGTGTCAGTGAGGTGGGTCTGTGCCTGTGGAAATCCACCACCAGCACCTTGGTTTTAGCAGAGCTGACGAGTTGGGAGTGAGAATGGGTTGAAATGTCTACCAATGGTTCTTCTCAAGGGAAAGGAGTTGGTGGCAAAGTTAAAAATGTCATGTCCTGGCCTGGCCCAGCCTCCTGCAGACTCATCATCCCAGAGAAAGGTCCCATCTCCTCTAAAACATGAAAAATACCCAGGAGGAGCTGGCTAACACTGGCTCATGCAACCACTACCGAGCTATGGCACTGCCAATTTTACAATACCTGTAGGTTTTGGCAGGCCTCAAAAGCTTACCTCTGTCTCTCCACAGCTGGGGCAAATTCTGGTGGCAAGTCCAGTGGTGGTACGAGCACTATGGTTGATCAGGGAGGCCTATGTGTGCCAAGAGCTACAACCTCTGTAGAGTCTGAGAGCTTGTTCCACCAGAGGTAAGTGTAGTTGCTAGTTGGACATCCCCACATACTCTCATTAGATTCTACTGCAAGGTTGTACCTGCGTCATTCCTAGCACCTGCAGTCCTTAGTATGGCCTAATAGTCCAAGCTCTATATCAGCCCCAGTTTGTGCTGTTGGTGTTAACCTTCAGCTTTTTTAGGTTGAGGTGTCGTTATGTTTTGTAGCATGCAATCTGGGAGTTACCTATCCCAGTTATCAAAAGACAACTTTTAGTAACTGGAATAACCCTAGTTCTCTGAAAACTGAGCAACATATCTCACTATACAGCCCTGCCTGCAAGGTCACGTGAAAGAAATACACCTGGGAATGCCAGGTGTAGGAAAGGGATGCTAATAAAAGGGGGATGGCACCCACTTGCCAAGCATGGGATTGGTCTGTCAGTGACAGACTTGGTGGCAGTGGAGCTTCCATGACTGGCCACACCTGAAAGAACTTCCCATCGTGAGAAACCTCAGTCAGTCAGTCTTCAGAGAACCAGGGTTACCCTGGTAACCAAAAGATTTATGGACAGACTGAGAGAAAAAACAAGTAAATAAATGGAATGGGGGATGTGAAAAATGAAGAAAACAATGTAGGAGGAAAAGCAGCTAGCGAAGAGACGACATCTGTACTGTCAACTTAAATTATGAACACATATTACTCTGATTGCATTTTTTCTTCTCTTTTACTGACCTTCATAGAAGGAGGTGAACACGACTGAGACAGATGGTTAAAAGAAGCAGCAAAATGTATACAGTGGGACTGAACAGATGGATTTTAGCTGGTTGCTGAAACAAAAGCCCTCTCTTGGTTATATCTCCACCTGCATACCGTGGTTTGTATTTCTTTGTATTTTCAGAAGAGGAGGGAAACATCCGGAGAGAAGAAAGAAGAGAAGGATGAATGAGAAATGAAAAAAGTGGAGGAGGAGCAACTTAATAAATGATGCTTTAAGCCACAACATGAGAACAGCCTGGACAGGAGGGTATCTCTGGCCATCTACACATTACACACAATCGTGAAGGCACCCACGCACACGAATCACACAAACACACGTGCAACACACACAAACACATTCAAGCTGATTCTGACCAACGGTTGTGCCTCCCAGTGAGAAATGACCTACTATTTTGGCACAATACTAAACAGAGCCCCAGGAAAGGTGCAGAAATACAAATTAAATTTCAAGAAAGCACAAGGGTGCAAAACGTCCTACTAAAGCATGAGCATGCCCAACAACAACAACAAAAACTAAAATTACTAGCAGCATGAGTGAAATACATAATCCAGCATGATTAGAACATGATACAAACATGTACAAAATTATATAATGTTCAGACAAACATGCATAGTAAAGGCCACCCAAACAACCCCCCAGCCACTAATGTATCCTAACAGGTGGAGTGCAATATATGCATGTGTGCAGGCAAAGGACAGGAGGTAATTTTAGATATGGTAATTTGGAGAGGTGGCAGAATGTGTGTGTGTGCGTGACAGTGTAGTAATACAGATAAACACTAATGGAATGGGAATGAAACAAGAAATTACATACACATTATCAGTACACAACATTCTCCAGGCTGCCCTTTCCACTGACCTTTCCCCTTTAACCCCTACCACACCTGGAAATGTGGATTCAGAAAGCAGAGCAGCTGTCTGATCTGTGATAAAGTACACATGTGTAAAAACCTGAATCCTGCTTTTCCTCTAATGTATTTATCAGCGTGTGAGTGTGCAGGCATATGTATGAAGGAGAAACTCTGCACCACCAATAAGGCTGTAAAGACTAAGTGCTGTTTGAAAAGAACATGAACTGGGGAAGGTGAGTTGAGTTGGTGTGGAACAATTAAATGTTATTGTGCAGTTTATTTGCAGATTTACTTCTGTTTAACAAATAGCACCAAATGCACTCTTGTATTTAAATGCTGTGGGTAAATGATTGTTTTAAATTAAATAAGATGAGGAGATATTTTTATATCATGCACACAGAAACTCTTTGAAAGAGAAAAAATAGTTTAAATTCATTACTAATAGTCTTCACAACCGAATATCATAAATTATACTAAAATAAATCTTAAAACAAAGAAACATGCACTTAAACTATTGTTCTTACAGCTTTTCTTCAAACAGACTCACACCAAGTACTTACTTTTTCTAGGAGGGGTAGCCAGGCAGTGACAAGGTGAAGGTTTTTCAGGCAAAGCCAGTCCCCATTTCGGGAACATTCTCTGAGTGTGGCTAAGGCCACATCAGCCTGTCCCTGACCCATGGAGATCTACACAGTGAGAATGCAGAGGTAAGGTGGGATGTAATGGAATCAGTGGGATGTAAAATTCTATTGTGCATTCTAATGTATTGCTAACATCCAAACTTAGGAAACTAAAATCTTGTTCAATATTTTAACTCACTTCTATTCTCAGTGACAGAAATCAAAGTGCATTTTTTTTCTCAGTGGGGTTCACAAAACAGAGGAAAGTCGCATGTAATAGCTCATGAGATGCACTGTGTTGTGTGTGCATATATGACAACAATGTACCAACATTACACCAAGATCCTACATTAGAGCAACACAAAACAATCCTTCTACTTTGACAGGAAGAAATTGAGTCTTCTGAGGTATTTGCTAATTTACCAGTGCTAAAGTAGACTATAGTAATGCCAACGACCTTTCAAAAAGCACAAATTTGACCTTTTATGTAGTGACAATCAGCATTTGCCATACAAGTGACTTTTGAACGCAACCAGATTAGAGGGGGTTGACAGCAAACTGACCTTTACACTAAAATGGCAATAAAGCGATTAATTTTACTCATATTGTGGTAAAATTTGATATGGTAGTAGCTGTGAGTCTTTCACAACACATCCTCTAAGAATGACATCCTGAAATTATGCAGTTTTGACAATAAGGATTGCAGCTCTGTCATTTGTCCACATAAGATGTTCTTAGTTTAAAATAATGGCATAAAAAGCAGCAAGCAATGTGTATTCCTTTAAGGAATGCTAGTCCTATAATTATCTCATTTAATGCCCAAGTAATGTCTTTCTGATAGTTGTCAATTTCTCTTTTACTTAGTTGCTTTATTGTGTTTATTTTTAATAGTTATAATTAAACTTTTTGTTTAACCCAAAATACACCGTATGCAAACTGGAACGCTTCGAGATTAATTAACCAGTCGTAGGGGAAGTATTTAGATATTTTGTGGTAGTTAAATTAACAAAACTGCAATTTAAAAGTACTTTTTACTACCATCTTACTTAAGTGAAAGTATAAATAACTGATGTCTTTAACATGTTCAAATTACATCTACGTAAGTGATTTATTGTAGGTTCTTATGTAACAACCTGCAGTGTCCTACAACTACAGATGTCCTAAAATGTCTGATTTTATTCTTTCTCAATTTAAGTAAACTAAATGAAAATGGATTTTTTTTGTTTAACTAACTTTTAGTTTGCCAACAATGTTCATTTTCATAAAAAAGTATACATATTTTTTAACGAGAAGGAAGTGATGAGAAACTAGTCTAGTCTATCCACTGCATTTTTTGAAACTCAAAGGTCACATTTGCATGAAGTCAGCTTCAGTTATAGCTTGTTAGAAAAATTTATTTATTAAAATAAAAACCATAACAAATGCTAAAATTATTGATAAAGTGAAAAATACATATTTTAGATTTGTTAGGGTAATTTGCATGTTTTCAGAAAATTCATCTTTAGCAGAGGTCAAACACATTTAGTTTGTATATAAAACTCGATATACCTATATATATATATATA